TCTGTGTCTGTGTTAATTGGTTTCCCTTTTCTTTGTTGAAGAGGGTCTGTGCAATCCTTCTGCCTAGTCCGCCATCTTGCCCCGCCTCGCATGATAGAATTTTGCAAGACCCAGTTACCTATTATTTTTAACCATCAAAGCATAATTTGGATGTTAAATGTCTTCTGAGTCTAGATGTTTATATACTTCCGTGTTTATTTTCCTAACAGTGTGGATACTAAGCAAGGGCAAGTGTAAGACTCCTTGATTATGAACAGCTAGTGAAGAATTCAGAGCAAGTGTTTCATCAGTCAGTCAATAGTTGTGATGCTGCTGGGATAAACATGATCTCAAGTCAAGAAGTCTTTATATTCAAAATAAAACAAAAAGTTGTTCTTGTCTCAAGGATTGTATTCAGAATCTGAAAAATTTGTACTGAACATACCTTCTTGATTATACCATAGGGTCCTAAGACCCAACATATGTAAAATGTCTCCATCGTAAAGAATTCAGGACCTTATTCTTGAGAGAGGCATGCCTCCTTGCATTGGGTCTCCTTCAGCAGCTGAGCACATGTAGGAGCCACTCGGTGAGGTATGGTAGGAGCATCCTACACCCTAGTTGGGAAGGCTCTGTGGTCACCAGTATCTCATTCATCGTTGCAGAGATCTCGTTCCGAGTGTGGCAGTGTGGTGGCAGTCTGGAGATCATCCCTTGCAGTCGTGTGGGACATGTGTTCCGGAAACAGCACCCCTATACTTTCCCAGGAGGGAGTGGCACTGTTTTTGCCCGGTAAGTAGTGAGAGGCTGAGTAAGGACAAGAACATTGCTGACCACTACCCAAATAGAATTTGACCTGCTAGCTATCTGGAGGAAGCTCTGGTAGCATAGTGCCTAAGGCACTTGACTGCTAACCAGAAGGCTGGCAGTTCAAACCCACCAGCCACTCCTCGGAAGGAAGATGGGGCAATCTATTTCTGTAGTGATACTGCCTTGGAAACCCAAGGAGGGGTCACTATGAGTCGGGTCTAGCTCGACGGCGCATAACAACAACAACAAGCTATCTGGAAGTGGTCCAGAGTCTCTCAGTGGGTGAGTGAATCAACAAAGTGAGGCACGTTCATACAACATAGTACTACTCAGCAATGGAAAGGAATAAGCTATTGATGCACGCAGTGATTTGGGTGACCCTTGGGGCACTAAAACCAAAAAAGAAAAAACAAACTTACTTACATCGAGTCAGTTCCAACTCACAGCAACTCCCTTTGGGTTTCTGAGGTGATAAATCTTTATGGAAGTAGATTGTCCATACTTCCTTCCATGGACTGGCTGGTGGGTTTGAACTTCTGGTTAACAGTCAGATGCCGTAGGCCCTATGCCACCAGAGCTCCTTCCTCAGGGCACTGTACTAAGTGAAAGAAGCCAGTCTCAAAAAGTTACATCTATTTATATATTTATATGACAGTTTCCAAAAGACAAAACTATAGTGATGGAAATGTAATCACCAGGGGTTGGGATCAAGGAGGGTCTGATTACAAATGAGTAGTACAGGTTTTTTGTTTTTTTTTTGTTTCTTTGAAAGTGATGGAATTTTTTGGTCAGTAATAACAAAAATCTTACACGTTTGAAAACTTATATAACTGTATATTTCCCCTCAAAAAATGTTATAGGAGAATGCTACTTTAAAGAAGTTAATGTGTATTTTTTATTACATATTAACATTTGTTGTTGTTGGTTGCTGTTGAAATGATTCTACCTCATGGTGACCCCGTGTGTATCAGAGTAGACTTCTGCTCCATAGGGTTTTTAATGGCTGATTTTTCAGAAATAGATCATCAAGCCTTTCTTCAGAGGTATCCCTAGGTGGACTCAAACTTCTAACCTTTCAGTTAGCAGCTGAGCGCATTAACCATTGCATCACCCAGGGACTCCATTAAGGGTACAATATATGAATAATATTAAAGTAAAGCCAATCTAAATTCATACCAAAAAGACACCACAGTACATAGATAAATATTTTAAGGAACCCTGGTGGGACAGTAGTTAAAGCACTCAGCTGATACCAGACAGATTGGCAGTTTCAACCCACCAGCCACTCTGCGGGAGAAAGATGTGGCAGTCTACTTCTGCAAAGATTTACTGTACAGTTTTAGAAACACAATGGGAAGCTATACACTGTCCTGTGGGGTCACTATGAGTCAGAATTCAACTCGATGGCAGTGGGTTTGGTTTTGGGTTATCTGTATTTTCGTAAACATGGAAATGTTAAATGTAGAGTTTTCTAAAGAAAAGTAGCAGATTATCAGTCCAACCAGACCAAAATATTGACTACGAAATTCTTCTAGATACTAAAGATGAAATGTTGTATAGAACAAGCCTTATCTCAAGGAGATTACCTTCTTGTGTGAGTAGACAGTCAAGCATGTAGACAGCTAAATAAGATTGTTTCAAATATTAGTAGATGGTGTGGAAAAGACCAAATATGGTCATGCGGAGAGTGGCTGAGAAGGAGAAGGAGAGGTTGGTCATATATAGGGTACAAGGAGGGCCTGTCTAAGGTGGTAGCATTTGAGCTTAGTCCTGAAAGGTAAAAAGGAGGCAGCCATATGCACATCTAGGGAATAGCACTCCATACAGGGGAAACAAGTCCACAGAGACCAGATGAGTTTAGTCTGCCTATGAGATGTGAAACAAGGCAGCCAAGTGGGGCTAGAGGAACAGACTGAGAGTAGAGCAAGGGAGCTAGGAGAGCCAGATGAGCCCAGGCCAGATACCCCTTAAAGGTTTTAGTAGGGTTTTTGGGTTTTTTTAAATTTTGACTTACAACTTTGTTGATTGATTGATTGAACATTTTATTGTGGGTTGGGTGAAAGTTTATAGAGCACATTAGTTTTCCATTCAACAATATATACACATTTTGTTTTGTGACTTTAGTTGCAATCTCCTCAATATAACAGCACTCTCCCACTTCCTCTCTGGGTTCCCCATTTCTGTTTGCCCATCTTTCCTGCCCCTCCCTACATTCTGAACTTTGTTTTGGGGTAAATGCTGCCCTTTTGGTTTCATATGGTTGATTGTTCTGAGGCGCAACTTCCTGTTGGGGTTTTTGTTCACTTTATAGGCCTGCTTGGCTATAAGGTAGTCTCTGGGAATGAGTTCAGTTATAGGCTTAAAAGGTGTCTAAAAGCTGCAGTCTCAGGGGTTCCACCAGTCTCTATCACACTAGTAAATATGGTCATTTTTATGATTTTGAAATTTTTTCTACATTTTTTCCCTACTCTGTCCAGAACTTTCTATTGTGATCCCAATCAGTGCCGTTGGTACTTGTACTAAGGCACCTTACAGGTTTTCTGATCTCAGGTTAGTGGAGCCTGTGGTTCCTGTGGTCCTTTAGTTAGTTGTTCAAACTCATTATTTCCTTGAATCTTTGATTTTCTTCACTTTTCTTTGCTCTGGATAGGGAGAAACCAATAGTTGTATCTTAGATGACCGCACTCAAGCTTTTAAGACCCCAGTCACTACTCACCAAAGTAGCATGTGGAACATTGTCTTTATGGACTATGCTATGCCAGGTGACCTAGATGTCCCTCAAGACTGTAGTCATAGGTCTTCAAGACCAGTAACTCAGTCCCTTAAGATATTCTGTTATGACTAAGTTTTCATAACTTTGCCCCCTGTGTGTTCTACTATATTCATTGATACATTTGTAGCACATACAAATATATATGTGGAAATACGCTCTACCATACCTACATATATTCATAAGTATACCATAAGCCTTCCCACACTTAGCTTACATATCTACCTGTATATCTACTTGTAAATTATTTTTTAATGATTTACTGTTGTTGCAGAATTGTGTATGTAAGAGTTTTTAAGGTTGTTGCATTTTACTGTTGCATACCTCCCAGTGTTGCCCTTTGCCTTGATGACATTGTACTGACCTCCTCCTTACTGTATATTGTTCTGCCATTCTCCCCCTTCCATCCCTAGTAACCCTCAAAGAATGTTTCTTTCTGTCTGTAAATCTTTTCTTGACTTTTTATATTAGTGGTCTTATATAACATTAGTCATTTGTGATTGACATACTTGACTCAGCATATTGTTCTTCAGGTTCATTTCTGTTGTGAGATGTGTCACAGATTCATAATTATTCTTTAATGTTGCCTAATATTCCATTGTGTGTGTGTACCATAGTTGGTTTATCCATTCATCTTTTGATGAGCACTTAGACTGGTTCCATCTTTTTGCTACTGTGAATATGCAGCGATGAACATAGGTGTGCACTTACCTGTGTCATAGCACTTATTTCTCTAGGATATATACCTAGTAGTAGGATTGCTAGATCACATGATATCTCTATTTCTAACTTTTTAAGGAAATGCTGTACCGTTTTCCACAGTGATTGTACACTTTACATTCCCACTAGCAGTATAGGAGAATTCCAGACTTCCCACACCCTCATCTCTGTTTTCATAAGAAAAACTTTATGAATAGCAGAGAAACACTGTCTGATATGTTACTGGGCAACTTTATGAATAGCCCAGAAACATTGTCTAATAGAGTGCAGGAAGATGAGCCCTGTAGGTCAGAAGGCTCTCAGAATACAGCTGGAAAAGAGCTGCCTCATCATAGTGAAACCAGTCTTAATGATATGGATAAAGTAAAGCTTTCAGGACCTCCACTTGCTGATGTGGCATGGCTCAAATTGAGAAGAAACAGCTGCAAACATCCATTAATAATCAGAACATGTAATATATAAAGTATGAATCTGGGAAAATTGGAAGTTGTCAAAAATGAAATGGAACTCATGAAGATTCATGTCCTAGGCATGAATGAGCTGAAATGGACCAGTTTTGGCGATTTTGAATCAGAAAACCATATGATCTACTATGCCAGGAATGACAATTTGAAGAGGAATGGCATGGGCATTCATCATCACAAAGGATGTTTCAAGATCTGTCCTGAAGTACAGTGCTGTCTGTGATAGGATAATATCCATATACCTATAAGAAGACCAGTTAATACTACTATTATTCAAATTTATGCACTAACCACCAAAGCTATAGAGGAGGAAATATAAGATTTTTATCAACTTCTGAAGTCTGAAATTGACCAAACATGCAATCAAGATCTGTTACTTATCACTGGTGACTAGAATACAAAAGTTGGAAACAAAGAATCACCAGTAGTTGGAAAATTTGGCCTTGGTGACAGAAATAATTATGGAGATTACATGATAGAATTTTGCAAGACCAATGACTTATTCATTGCAAATACCTTTTTCCCACAATACAAACAGCAGCTATACATGTGGACTTTGCCAGATGGAGTACACAGGAATGAAATTGACTACATCTGTGGCAAGAGACAATGGAAAAGCTCAATATCTTCAGCCAAAACAAGGCCAGGAGCTCATTGTGGAACCAACCATCAAGTGCTCATATGCAAATTCAACTTGAAGTTGAAGATAATTAAATCAAGTTCATGAGAGCCAAAATATGACCTAGGATGTATCCCTCCTGAATTTAGAGACCATCTAAAGAATAGATTTGATTCATTGAACACCAGTGACCGAAAACTGAAGAAATTGTGGAATGACATCAAGAATATCATACGTGAAGAAAGCAAAAGGTCATTAAAAAGATGAGAAAGGAAGAAAAGACCAAAATGGAGGTCAGAAGAGACTCTGAAACTTGCCCTTGAGTGGAGAGTAGCTAAAGAAAATATAAGAAATGACAAGATTAAAGAGCTGAACAGAATATTTCAAAGAGCAGCTTGACCAGACAAAG